TTTAACAAAAAATATCCTGTTTGTCACTTTACTTACTTACTAAGATTTTGACTAAATGGTTGTGCTCATTATTCTGTTCTATATTTTAAGTGCCATATTACTTTTTTGAGAGTCATAAACATCACACTTAATAATAATAATAATAATAATAATAATAATAATAATAATAATAATAATAATAATAATATAAATAGAGTTAACAAACAGGAAATAGAGGATTTAATACACCTATGTTTACATCTGTGGCTGTGGTTTATTTATTTAGGTATTATTTAGGTATTTTGCTGTAATTCAGCTACATCTAAATTATAGCAGTTTGATTAATCATTAACATAAAATGTAGCAACTAAAACCTTCAAAATAATTTAATAGTTATTCATTTCCAAAACCATGTATCTATATTCGTCTGTGTTCTGGGGACTCCATTTTACTTCTTTCAGTGAGTTTAAACAACTGCATTATGGTTTTCAATTTAAAATGACAGTTAGGTGATACACAGGTAAATTACATTAGTGATTAGATCAGGAGCACGAGCATTTGTATCATGTTTCTGTATTTATGTTGTATTATATAGTCAGTCACAGACTGGGAATATAGAACAATATTATTGGATCTTATGTTAATTAAATTACAGCTCAGTTTTGCTCCATATCTTAACAAACTACCCAAATGCAGGTAAACAGTTTTCAGGCTCACATTTGTCAGCTGGCTGTCACGAGGCTCTGTCAGGCCATCTGTCAAGAACTCAATAAATTTGTCAGTGGAAAAAAAAAAGAAAAGAAAAAAAAGCTGAATCCAATAAATCATAACATAAACAAATCTAGCCATGGGTTGACAGTGCTGTATTATACTTTGGCTTAATCCCCGGGGAGTTGGGATTATCCTGCAGTATCATTTTTTTTGGCTGTCTCAGTAAGATGGGCCATGTCGCTCAGGCGAATAAAAGCAGAAAAATGTGAGTGAGTGAGGAAGAAGAAGGAGGTGTGATGTAAATAACTCTTTATCCTGTTGCGCTTCTGTGAATTTAAACATGCAAATAACAGTTTATAGGAATCCTAAAGAAAATCTGCAAAATCAGATAAACCCAATTTCTTTTACTTAAATTCAAAATGTGAAATCAAAACGAGTTGTTATATTGGCTACTTTAGTATTCAGGGGCCCTCAGGCCTGTGGGGCCCTGTGTCTCTCACACTATTTGTTATTACAGCAGGGCGCTGCCTGTTTGCTTCACAGTGTCACAAAATTCCCTTTTTAAGGCAAGAAAGCGTTAAAAAAAAAAAAAAAAAACCCTGCAGAACACACTGAGACCGAGCAGAGAGAGAAATTAAATCCCAGCTGATTGTGATGTAGCAGAACCTGCAGTGAGCTCCTGTGCTGGTCCAGAAGCGGTTCCGTTGGCTGGGAGAAGGAGCTGTCCCCCCCCCCAAGCCGCTGCAGCCACACCGACGCTTTCATACAGAACCACCGTATAAGAGACCCATGTGCGGGCTCCAGGAGGAAAACGACATTTCCCACAATTCGTTCAATGTATTTATCGTCAGAAACAGTCTGTTTTTTTAAAGATTCTCAAGTGCAACTCGGCGGCAAACAAATTAAGAGATCCTGTATTTTTCTTTCTTTCTTTCTTTCTTTCTTTCTTTCTTTCTTTCATTCTTTCATTCGAGCTTTTAAAAAAGCCTCATGGAGAGCATAGAAACACTCATTAAAAGATCAAAGTGAGTTAACTATCAAAGTCCTCCAGCCATGCAGTTGGGGAGCCATTATGTCTTTGGTTTGCTCAGTTTCTCCTTTGTGGAGCTCAAGTGTTTCTTCCCATTTTCACTGTGAGCTATTTTATTTTGAAACTCTCATCGCTTTGTTTTAATTGAAATTGTGAAATTGTTCACATTTCAGCTCAATCTAACCTGTTGTGTTGTTATAGAAATTAGAATAAGATTATGAGGTAAATGCAACGTTTGTTCCAGCCCGCGCATTCAGTCTAATACACGGTGATATTATTGTATTGTGCACGCATCGATTAGCGCCTCCGGGTTCGGGCCTGCCGCTGTTGGACCGGTGTGCGTTATTCTCCGGGTTGGTTGGATGAATGAATGGATCCTGCGTGGCTTATAAACAGCGGGATGTAAATGTAATTAAAGCGGATAAATTGTCGATATGTTTAGACCTATATTATAATTTGATGGATGCGTTTGTTCGGGTGAGATTGAAATGTAACGAAGTGGTGAAATAATTAGATTCAGTTATTAGATGAATTGATTTAAGCTCAGTTATTTCTGGGGATTTTTTTTTAAAAAGAAAAATATTTTCGGAACAGATGCACTAAGTCACAGTGACACATTCATATAAATAGGATAGAATTAGCATTGATTATCGCTGTAGGAGATTTCTTCGTTTTCTTAATACTTTCCTCCAAACTTTGTGCCCAATCTGCGGATTGTGGTTCCAAAAATGCGCAAAAATCTTCGCAATTTCTAACTTTTCGCCCGCTCAAACATTTAAATGTAAGGCCACATTTTTTCTTTTTTTTTTTAAACCTAAATCATTCGATCTTCCTCTGCATTCAGCCCCTCTATAATCCACACAATATTCCCTCTTATTATCGACTCTGGCTGTGTAACCGTGCTCCAGGAGAGTCTGCAGGAATGTGCACTAACTGCGCATTATAACGCTCTCTTACCTTTCCGATGGATGCAACACTTCTGCTCACTTTAAATTGCTCAAACTTTCGGAGCCGCTTTTCTGTTGCTGCACACCTGCTGCAGCCTCTCTCTTTTTTTTTTTTTGCTTGTTTTTTTTTTTTTTTTTTTTCTCCTTACAGGAGGCGCAGGGAGGGCTTGTCACGCAGGGGCTCATTAAAACACCGCCGGCTAAAAGTTGGCGGATTGATTTATTGAATGAATGTTTGATGTCCTCATTCGCACAAGTGACCTGGCCGATAACTGCTGAATGAATGGCGGGGGGAGGTAGGGGAGGGAGGGGGGGCTAACACAGGCTTTATATGTTTTAAAAAAAAATGTATTGATTATATTGTATTGATGGCGCTCAGCTCATAATGCTGCTTAGTGGTCAGATAATCCAATATAGTGCGAGGAGGAGGTAATTGACCCCATGCTGATAGAAGTGCTGGAAAGAGAAGAGCTGAGCCTGAAGGTGGATGGCTTCATGACCCGCAGGTACGGGGCTGATTTCAACAGAGAGAGTGTAAATATGTGTCTTTTCGTGACATATTTAAAGCCTTTCGTGATTTATACTATCATTTCTGTGTTCTCTGGGGTGGCTGCATCCTTCCAGAGCTGTGAGACTGTTATGTGGCTCCCTCTGTCTGACAGATCAGTGCAGCTGTTCTCTCAGTGAACGGCAGAGGGCAACGCCAACAATCTGCTCTCTGTTTCCCCAAACTGGGCTACAGGTCAGCGCCTTGATGCTTCACAAAGGAGATCAGAAGGAACACGCAGACAGGCCTTTGGATGGAAGGTAAACAGTGCGCAGACACTGCACATCATCCCTCAGAAACATTCGGATATGTGTGTTTTTATTAGTTTCTACATTATAACAGACTATATTGCAATAAGTGGAATAATGTGAAATATAGGACTGTTTTTTTCTTTTTAGGCCTGTGTAATTTCTATTATTATTATTATTATTATTATTATTATTATTATTATTATTATTATTATTATTATCATCAGTACTACTACTATTATTATTTTGGTATTGTGATGTCATGCCTCCATTATCTTTTATTGAGCATGCAGTTTATTATTACTAGTATTACTGTAATTAAAATAAAGCCCCCGCGGGCTAATAGCACGAGCTGCTGTGATCATATAGAAATACTGCTGCTGTACAATACGTTTCTCCCCTCGTGTCCAGTGTTCCTCGGGTTCTTCCTGGCCGGGGCCTGCAGCTGGAGCGTCTTTTAAAGAGGTTGACAACAATGATCCTCTCATGCAGCGCGACATGAGAAGAAGCAGCGCGCAATCCCATTAGCAGCCCTGTAATTTCAGACAGGCCTCAGTGCCACAGCCCTGCGCACCTTCCAGACGTCTTGATCGCATCTTGGCTAAGAAATGTGCAGATCATCCCTGAAACGCGTTCCCACACAAACTCTAACACCCACAGGCGGTATATATCTCTATACATCTCTATATCTATATCTATATATCTATATATCTATATCTATCGCTATATATATATCTATATCTATATATCTGTATATATCTTTATATATCTCTGTATATCTATATCTAGCCTACATGTAACTATATATATCTGTATATCTCTGTTTATATATTTAAATTGTGGTAATTGTAACTTTTGATATTTTTGAGGGTTCAGATTGGTAGATTTTGTGCACCAATAAGCTGATGAGCAGATAATAACCCATACAGGACAGAGGCCTGTAAGAGTTATGGTGTTATTATTGATATTATTATTATTGTTATGATTATTCCCGACCGGAAGGCGCATGGCCGGGCTCGCAGTGGCCTCCAGGCCGCTCTTATCGCCGCTGATCGCCAGGTGCATCAGCTGAAAAGGGGGGGACAGCAGCTTCCACTGGACACAATACACAAAAGAGCAAAAGAAAGCATGTGATCGTGCTCTTGATGTCTCACCACTGAGGGAAATATAACAATTCATACACAATATATAAAGCTTTCATTCTTCTCTCGCATCAACATTTACAAAAACACTAAAAATCTCCACATTCTTTTATTTGTTAGAGTGAGAGTTATAAATACGGCTAAAATGAAGTGATAGTGTATTATTATTATTATTATTACTATTATTGTTGTTGTTGTTGTTATTATTATTATTATCTGGATTATGTAATTGCATTGTTGCTTCAGTGTGAAGCCAGATGTGTAAAATCTCATCTTTTCTTTTAGTCTCTTTGCCTCTGTGTGTGTGTGTGTGTGTGTGTGTGTGTGTGTTGTTATTGGACTGGTGTGCAGCGCACTGTACTCTGCTCCAATAGCATCCCAATGGCAGTGAATGGGGGGAATGAAAAAAAGTGTAGCCATGCATGCAGGAGTGGGAGGATCCACTCGCCTCAATCTCGATCTCAGACTTTTGCAGCGACAGGAGCACAACCAGCCAACCGTCTCTGTGACTTCCAAAGAGTTACTGCCGGGACATCTACATACACTCTCCTAATATTTTTTTGGGGGGGAGACATTTGTTGTCAAGTTTGACTTCTATTTTTTTTTTCTCGCCCTTGACTAAAGTGTTATCCCGTGAAGAGATCCCTCTCCCCGCTCTCTCCCGTCGGCTTGAGGACTAGAAGATAAAGCTTCCTCGGTCCTCTGATCCTAACAGGTGACTTTTTCCACCTTTATTGTTTGCTTTCTGTCTCTCCACGCTCCTCTGACACGTCGGGGATCTGTGTAGCCGGCTTTAGACTGCCTTTACCTTGTAACCACTGCGAGCATCACACTCCACTATATTTTTTTTTTTTTTTTTTTTTTTTTTTAGCTTTTCTTCTACTTGAGCTCATTTTGTAGTTTTCCTCCTCCGGGCTGCAGGCTGTGTGTCACAACAGCGCGGAACTCCAGTGCGCTTTCAACAGGTTTCAGCCCTCGTCCTCTCCGGCTCTTCCTCCACAGAAAGCTGAGTGTGTGTGCCGCGGGATTTTTCTCTTGCCAAGTCTGACCGTATTCTTATGGATATTGCAACAGGTCTGGTGTCGCTGGAGCGCCTCTCCGCGGGAGAACAGTCCGAGACGTGCATCATGCTGGACGGCATAAAAATTGAAGATCACCCCCTGCGATCGGGACAGGCCACGCTCGGAGTCATGCTCGGTGAGTCTTCTTTTTTTAATGCGTAAACTTCGGCTGGACTGTTATTCCTGTCTGGATGCCATTACTGTGCCTGCATGTCAACTGCTGCTTTGTTTCCTGACACCTATTGTCATTAAAAACCGGCAAAAAAAAACTTCATATTTACGCATGCAAATGGATAAAAGAGAAAACAGAGATGGTGTAGTTTTATTCTGTGATTGAAAGTCATCCTGAGCCATGCAGACATATAAAGGATCTATGAGTGATGTAATCTTTAGGCCTGACTGGAGAGAAAATATCACATTCATCCACTAAAAGCTGCATTTTTTTAAAACTGAATTAAAGGCATTAATTGGTTTTCTTTAAGCAGCCAGTGTGTAGGCCTTTAACGCTTTAGAGTTTACAGTCTTTGATTCAGGGCCTTCTCTCTTTCCTGACGGGGCCCCGGCTCTCCTCTGCCGTTTTCCAGGGACCGACTGTCATCATCCATCCGTGTGTGAAGGATGCCAGCGTCCCATCTCCGACCGCTTCTTGATGAGGGTCAACGATTCCTCATGGCACGAGGAGTGTTTGCAGTGCACCGTGTGTCAACAGCCTCTCACCACCAGCTGTTACTTCAGAGAAAGGAAACTTTACTGCAAACACGACTACCAACAGTAAGCACTCTTTTCGGGGAGGAGGGAATCTCTGTTCTCTCTTTCTCTTCTTGCATTTCTTTGCTTTGGTTGGTGTGCAGTGATTTAAAAAAAAAAGAGAGAGAGAGAGAGAGAGAGACATTGTGGTGGCTTTGGTTGTCCTGGAGGCCTTGTGTGTGTGTGTGTGTGTGTGTGTGTGTGTGTGTGTGTGTGTGTGTGTGTGTGTGTGTGTGTGTGTGTGTGTGTGTGTGTGTGTGTGTGTGTGTCTAAAATGCAGTGTGAAAAGTCACTCAGATAGTGTGAAGTGAATTTTACAATATTTAATTCATAGAAAAAATATCTGCCAGCTTGGAGCTTTGCTATAAATTAACCTGTTGGTGTTTGTTTTGTTTTGCTGAAGTTTAAGATTCATTTTCTTCCTGCAAAATTATTTTAAAATGGAAAGTAAAGAGCAGCAGGAACAAGTGGAATTAAATCTGAGCGTTTTTTTTTTTTTTTACTTGTTTAAAACAATGTGTCACAGTGGATCGGATGGAAATGTCTGCAGCAGAGAGCTCACACTGGCTGGAGGACGCTCGCATTAAGCGGCCATATATTATTGTCATATGCTCGGCTTTATTATTGTCACAGTGGCCCACGATATTTCCACATTTTGTCTGTGCGGGGACGATTGCGTTTCAAGCAAAACGGATGTGACCCCACTCAGCTCAGGCCCGAGAAACACGCAGGCGTGCAGTCTCGGGTTTTTATTCCGCTCTCTGTTCGTGTGTTTTCTGCTTACATCATGTGGCCTTTTCCCCATCAGCCGCTTCAGATGCATTAAACAAATGGAAACAAATCATTTCAGTAGGTTTCCTGATAGACTCTGAGCCCACAGCGCAGCTTACATTTATTTTTCCGATCACAACTTATACATTTATTTTGAAAATCCTCGATCTGCGTCAATATTATTGTTTTCTTAAAATCTACTTTTTGTATTTGACCGGTACAATTATATCGCGTTTTTAAATTATTATTACTATTTTATTTTAGGTTATTTTTAATTGTTCTATTTCATTTCAGGCTATTTTATTTTAGATATAGTGTTTAACCATTTAACGGTTTAATTAAATTACTATGCGCGCTTTTTATTCCATATGAGTTACACATTCTTGCAAGCTAAATACGTGGATTTGGATAATAATAGAAAATAATAAGGAGTTAATGCATTTGCGCAGGCGCGACTCACACACGCACGCAATTTAAAAAGCATTAATAATTTAATATTGAATTCCAAGTTTCACAGTTTGAAAATATGTAAAAGAATATATTGGTATTTTTATTATTTTAAAAATATGTAGTTATTTATAAGTAAAATGTGTGATTACAGCAGCACACTAATGTGATTAAATACAGATAGTACATTTAAAAATGATCTCTGACAAATTCACAGCAACACAAGAAATAAAAACAACATTATTAATATTACAGCTACTAAAAATAATAACTGTATCAATTATATATAAAGATAATAATAGGAATTGCCCCCTTGTGCTTATTGTTGATAAAGTGAATTACAATAAAGTTGTACAGTCTAAATTAGGCCTATGGCAGGAAGTAGCATGACAGCCATTAGCTGTGGAGTAAGATAAATTAGTAAATTGAATTAGTAAATTATCACATAAAAGCAGCAGAGATGGCAGATATAGTGAGGCAAATACTGAGGCTGAGCAACAGAAGTTAACAACAATGCTGAGGGTTGCTGTTTGGCCTGTGAGGACCCCGGGGTGCCCTGTGTTTCTCATCGCATGAGCGCTTTTCATGCTTGTCACTAAATTTCCAGCTTTTTGTGCACAGCCTTTTTAACAATTCTACTTCGATTACCGGGACATTATGGCTCTCTGCTAGATACCTCGCCAGCGACAAAGAGTTACATCTATTGCCATGCGTGCCATTCATCCAGCTTTGTGACAGGAGTGTAGTCGGCTGATAACAATGGAAAATTCATAGCAGTAACTATGGGATACCAGAGTCACGGCGTCACGGCTCAGAGGTGGCTGGAAGCTGAGACAGTCCGGCAGAGGGACGGATCTCTTTCTCATGCCTGCTTTAGCAGCGGCCACTTGTAGTCTCCTATTTGTTTGGTGTGTGTGTGAGGAGAGGACGACAGAGATAAACACACAGAGATAGACAAGATTATTACTATTTTGCTTCCAAATAATACTCTTTCCTGGCATTTTGTCACTGCTATGCTTTTGAAGTACCGTATTTGGTATACCACTCACCATTTCCCCCTTTTTCTCTGCTACTTTGGGCAAGTCCGATCACCCCAGCCAAACACAACAACCTGCTGGGCGACGTCCTGCTCTCGCACGCTGTTATTCATCACATCTTTTAATTCTTCACCCTCCTTCTCCCACCTTTTTTTCTCAGGTTAAAAGCTAGTTGGTGGGTCCCTCCATCACATGGACACATAGCATGTCATTTTTTTCCTTGTTTATTCCATTTGCATTGATGGGATACTTAAAGATGTAATTGGCACCTTTTTGACTTTTATGACACCCATTTAAGATGCATTTGTCAGCCCACAAACTGCTTTGGGCTGTGAGGAGAGCTCCTCGCCTTACAGAGGTCTTCGTGCCTAATTACATTCCTACAGCAACTGATTCATGCCCCGTAATCAGCTCTCACTAGCTATAATAAATCAAGGAATTGGCAAGCAGTCTTTTTTGGCACCTTTGGAACAGGTTTAAGTGCAGACGGGGGAAAACAATTGTGTACTGTGTTATTAAAACTCCCACCAACACAGTTCAACACATCCATATAGTGCAATTACAAGAATGAATTTTATTAGCCTTTATCCCATATGTTTGCCTCTGTTTGTGCCATGCTGCTGACCAGAGTTGATCGTCCCCGTCTCGATATGAAATTGTGTGCATGTGGAATATTTTTGATGGCTTAAGATTTAAGGTAAAAAAAAAATAAAAATCTAATGTACAGATGTCAGGCATATTTTCCAGAGGGGAAAATAAAATGGAATATATTCTAGAGGAGGCGAAATAGGACAATATAAAGCTGCCTTTTGCAAAAATATGTAGCACGTTTGATAAAATTGAAGGCAAATAGGCCGAGCTGTCAGTTGGACGGGGGCCATAGCCGTAGAGGAGGAACAAGCTTGAACGAGACGGGCGGTATGTAAAAGGTAGAGTGGAATTACACCACCCCGGGAGAGTTTGTTGTGCCCTGGTGTTTGGGGGTCAATTATACATCATTAGAAAGAGGGAGATCTTTTCCCCAGGGAGACCTTTCCCCTAACCGAGCAGATGCTTTGAAGGGAGCCATGTAATAAGGCCTATCGCTGACCCAAGTGTTGGACTACACCCCTGTAATGGACTGCCTTGTTAGAAACTGCCATGGGCTCCATCTACAAAACATAACATTAACTAACTCTATTATACACCATGCTGCCTGCTTTTGGGTCCTGCTGATGCATAAAAACATCGCATTCCAGAGTGGATTTTTTTTTTCCCACACTCTATTAAGTTTTACTGTCTAGCAAAATGTTATTTTTGAACGTTTCATTTGTAACTCATCCAAATACATGCAGCATGCAGAATTTTTTCCAAATTTTTGAAATTCACGTGCCAAAAGGAAATTTAGGTCACGGTAGTATGAGTAGTAGAAAAACACAGCAGTGATGAAGCCATAAAAACAGAGCTCCCAGAACCTGTCTCACCTCCCATGTATGCTGGACGATCCCCCGGTGTGCTGAGAGGTGCTTTTTAGAACTGTTTGGAGTGCCCTCCTGTGAAATTGTTGTTTTTTAATTAGCTGTGCTTGGGACGCTGCAGCAGTGTGTGCCGGATAGATGCTGACGGCTGGGTTTCTGTGTTAGCTCACAGAGTGTGTGTTTTACTCGCTCTAGGACACTCCCGCGTGGCCTGGCACTTTGTGAACACTCATATGCACACAAAAAAAAAACAGAAAAAAAAACAAACTAAGATGTACTTTGTGTTGTCAACCCAGTCGGGTACTTTTGCAGTTAATTAAAGAGCGTCCTCAGTCCAGTTAAAGCAGCTCTGATCTGTGGGTGTGCGTTCCTTTGTGCAAGACTTTCTAACTATCAGCTATACTTTCTTTTTTTCTTTTTTTTTTTAATTCTCCCTAAAAAGGATAAAAATGTGTCTTTAGCCACTGCTCTTGGGTAAATAAAAGAGGACCTCTACAGAGAGACAAATCTAATGTTAGAAACACTAAGCCGGATAATATTGCTTCAGCTTGCTGGGATTTTTAGTGCTCGGCAAGGAGCTAGCTGAAGCTGGCCCCGTTCCTCTGTAAGGAAGTATTGGGTTTTATGTCAACATGGCTCGGCCTGTCCCTGCAGCATACTAGGATGCATCATCTGTCATCTCATGGTTTGCTAGCTGCCCCCCCCCACAACCCCCTCCCAACATATTTAGACCCATTAAAGGACCTGTTGGAGTGGTATTTATTTGCATCACTAGCTACATCTTGGACTCTCTGTTTTTTGTTCTTTCCGGTTCCCACAAATAGCTCCTCGAGTGATAAATATTTGATTTAAACATATCGTTTTACATGAACTCTTGTATATATGAATAGTGCTGTTATAAATTGTACACCATCTACATCCATAAAAGCTTCCATAGTCTGCTGTTTTTATTCGCTGAAGGTTTTTTGCGATGCTGTCAGTAAATCTTAAGTACAAGCATTATTTTATGAAATCAGGTGATTTCATGAAGGTTTATATAGTAAAGGCACTTCCGGCTTGCGTTTGAGTGGGTGCAGAGTGTGTGTTTGTGTGGGAGCTATAAGCATACTTGTGTGTATGTGTATGTAGCAGCAGTTGGAACACAAAGCACTTTGCAGGACGCTATGGGAAGCCACAGAGGCTCAGCCACGGTAATGCCCATCACCACTTTAGAGGCCAGAATGGTGGCGAGGGATGTGGAAAGAGGTCTCTGTGGCTTTGTGTGGGGGAGCCGTAGCGCAGGGGAGGAGAAGGATCTGCAGAGGGATCTGCC